GGCCGGATGAGGCTTTGGCGGCAGAATATCCCGTAGTTGGGTTTGGAAAGAGGTTTGTTCAAAATCTGTTGCCCTCTGAACAAAAGAAAGAATTGTTTTTAGGTATCTCAACTCTGGTCTCTTCCTTGGTTACGCGAAGCAGGTCTACAAAATGATTAATATTGAGATGGTTGCTGATGACGAGGATGATCAGCTCTATTACACTATGATTTATCTAAATAGCAAGCTGAGGGTGGGTTATCACGAAGCTATTATGACTGATTATGAAAAAATTGCATAATAAGTATGATTGGTTTAGAAAGATCTCAAAATTGGACTAGACTCAGCCTCACGCATCTTCCAAAATCTAAATGGAGTCATTGACGATGTAGAATTGCAGTTTGACGAGGACACTGGAGAAGCTTTGGTAAGCGAAAATCTTCCGTTGTTTCAGCTAAATCAGATTTTCTTACAGGCCTATAACGCAGCTTACAACACCCATCCAGCAATTTTGCACGGCAATGGTCCTAGTAAAAATCACCTGAACTATTTGGCAAATTATATGCCAGATCGGTGGTCTTCGAAGAAGGGGTGCGCATACTGTGGAAAGAAGCCGAGACTTGATCTTTCAGTAGGAAATTACAAAAATTCTATATATACATGTATCGCAGACATCACGATTACAGAACATACGAAGGGGAAATGAAAATAGTTTCACAATTTCAAAGTCATATTTTACTCAGCAATGGTGTAGTTTGACTTTTTGCCAGGTTTCTCATTTTCAAGCAAATTATCCCATGGTTTCAATAGCTTCTGCGTTGGTAGTAGTCAATAAGGGCTTCAGTTTGTAGTTTTATTTTGTTCAATCACTCAGACAATTCGCCGGAACTTCCGCAGGAGAAGCAGAATCATAGCTCACTTGCAAGAGGAAAACTGGTATTTCGAAAAAGATTTTGGTCTGGAAGAAACGCAATCGGAGATCGAAAACGACAAAAGTCCCCATCTTTTCAGCTTTCCGCAGCAGTTTAGTGCAGAGGTTCCGCAGCACTCTTGCAGGGTTTATGCAGGTTCCCTGCGAAATTGCTGCGAAAGTGCTCCAGAGGTTCCGGTCAGTTGTCTGGGCACATTCTTCCTTCTTTTGGTTCACTTATCAATAAGAATCTGAAACCTACAAATGCCAGCTTGCTCTGATGAATTGTTTACAGATTGCTGACGAACCCGAGTTCCCACTTGTTACCGTATCCATTTTCATTGCCAAACCAATACCTTTTATTGAAGAGGTTTGCTTCGTCGCCATTATTTCATACTTTTTTCTCGGAATTTGTAAACCTTTTTTCTCTTCAGATGCTTGAAGCGTTTGCTCGTCTGGACTATCCAAAGAAAAAGATGGCGCTGTATATTTACAATTCTCAACCATTTTGCATCAAGACTGTAAGTTTCCTTAACCAAGTGTTCAACATCAATAATGAAAACCTGCGTAGATCATGGACTTCCTGTCCAAGTATGGTACTGAATATTACTCTAAGAAGATTATCAACGGTGTCACCGAGATAGGCGAGCGAG